TCACACTACAATCTAACAAAGTTGTTTCAAATGAAGTTAAAGACATCCAAGCACTACTAGAGCCATCTTATGGAAAAAAATCAAACAAACTTTTTTACCAGTCCAATACATCATTATACTTGGTTTTTATTAATGCACAACACAGTATTAAGACATGGAGTGAATTGGAAGAACTTGTACATTAGAATTAGACTGAGATGTAATGTTGGTGTGGGAGAATTGACCTTAGGCGAATTGTCTAACCTTTAGAAACCTCAGTTTCTATTGCCTATAAAAAATCCTGTCGCCTGAAGATAACACATACCAGATAGGAATATTATGAAAATTCATTTTAAAATGTGTGTAAAGCACCTAACATATTTCCTGGCTGATGGTAAACTCAAAATAAATGGAGGACCCTATTATCACTCCTTACTGTTAATGTGGTATAGGAACTGGAATTTAAATTCACAAAACATAACATCTTGGAAAGATTTTTATAAAAATAAATCCATTTATCTTCCTTTAAAAAATAACTATAATGGGGTATACATAAGTAAACTATTTATGAAAATGAATTAAAAGTCTAAGAATCAATATGGATACTATCAAAATAATGTTTGTACTAAGAAGCAAGCTACAGAATAACATAAACTAAGATGCCATTTACATAAAGTTCAATACAAGCAGGGGAGAAGTGTGGCCAACTGCTCTGGCATAGGCACAGAAGGCCCCAACAATGATGCTCTGCCTACTAGGAAACCCCACCTCTCTGAGACCCTTTTTTATTTGTTAAAGAACAGGTCATTTGGCTGCACATTGCAAAGAGAAGGCAAAAGGGATACCTCTTTATCCCCTAGAAAAGGCAAATGCTTTTACCAGTGAACCATGTGTCATTAGAGGCATAACTCCAATTCCTAGCTTTTTCCAGGGAGGGCACCCATAGGGAGAGAGGGGTGAGAGGATTTGATATGACTGGCCGGGGGTGGGGAAAATACAATAGGGCGGTTCACCCATCTAGAAATGAATTACAAGACTTCTTTGCAACTTCTCTTGTGGGGCATCTCAGCTAACCTGCCTGTGGGGATGGTACCTAGACAGAAGCTCTCTGGTGAGACCTTGACCTTTGGCCAGGCTTGCCTAGAAACTAATAACAGTGAGTTTCTTAGTGGTCTTCCGACCCCCTGCCAAGTTGTTATACACACTCAAAAGCTTAGAGTTTTGCATTGAGGCCTGGGATTCTTGGAGGTTCTGGCGCACACATTCACAGGCCTAAATAGAGGCCGCCTGGGGCTTTGGAACATCCTCTCTGTTGGTTTTCCTTATCTTCCTATTTACCAAATTGGCCTTGAAGCAAGCCTGCAGTGAACTTTGCAAAATTATATCTGACTATGTCACTACCCCAATTAAAAACCCTGCAGTATCTTCGCATGTCTTCTGTAAAATGGAACACTTTGATTGGCATTCAAGGCCTTCCACTTGCATGGTTTCCTTCAATGCTCTCCTGCCATACATACTATTTCATTAATCTCTCCAGTCAAAAACCTAGAGCGTTACTTAATCCCAGAAACCTTCCCCAAACTTCCATCCTGAGTTGGAAATTCCCTTTGTCTGAGCACTTAACACATCAAGACTTCCTTGAGAATAATTAGTCACTCAACAGGGGTACCCAGTATGTGCTGGTTACTGGGGATAGAAGGAGGAATAAGACAAAGTCTGCCCTCAGTTTCTACGCAGGAGATTGACACTGAAGAAGTGATTTCAAGTGTCGTAAGGACTATGCAGGAAGCATACATGCAGGAGAAAATCCTACATGATGCAAAGGCCTCTCCAAAGAAGTGGTAGAGAGTGACTTGGAATAAGCAAGAAAGGAGGAAGATGGGGATAGGATGGGAGGTGGAGTGTTCTAAGCAGAGTGAAGGGTATGTACCAAGTCCCTGTGGATCCAAGAATTGAAGTTCTAGTGAGGCTGAAGGCAAATAGTCAGGTGCAGCGTAATGAATAAGATAGATTTTTCTAAATTCAACTTTCACCTCTCAATCATAAAAGGGGCCTGGCGCACAATAAACCTCAATATATAGAGGTCTGGCACAAATAACGCCCCTTATTTATGAGCTGGTACTCTATACTAAATCTTTTATTATAAAATCATAAGCATCTAATTCTGTAACAACAATATCACACTCAAATACATTATGTGACATTTTAGGTGAAATGTTCAAATTCTGTCCATCTCATGTGAGATATTCATGTACCCTACCAACCACACTCAGTGGCGTTACTTCTGCTGGACCCTGTACTATGATGAAATATCCTTGGACCGTGATGTGCTCCTCACAAAGCTTTGTAATCTCACGAGCTGTTACTTCCTTGTCAATCTGGCAAACTCCCATTCATCTTTGAAGAGCCTTCATATTTATCTCCTCATATAACTCCCTTTAAGGGATTTATTCACATTTCCCACTATTCTGCCAGAACATCTATGGTATCCTTTGCATGTATATATAAAAGTTATTTATATACATTCATATGTATTTTTATCACAACCTTCTTTACTAGACTCTACGATTCTCAAGAATGGGAACTAGCTCCAGTTCTAGGTAGATATTTGTACATGTTTGTAAAGCAAATGGATGTAGAGTTCTCATCCTCCTTTTCAAAAAATCTGTTCCCAAGTCCTTCCACAGTAGAACATGCTTCCTTTAGGAACTTTCACTCCTCTCAGCCGAGACTCCTGACTCTCTGAATCAGGGCAAGCAAGCCTTGCCTTTTGTTAGAGGTGGGGTTCCAGCCATTACTTGGTCCCCGCCTACCTCTCTTCCATCTCCTACACTACATTTTCCCTCGCTAACTTACTTGACTCCAGCCACACAAGCCTTTTCTTTTTCTCAAATATGCCAAGCTTATGCTTACCTTAAGGACTCCGTAATTCTGTTTAGAACTACACACTTCCTCCCAAGTTGCAAATGGCTAACGTTTTCTCATCATTGAAAGCATCTCAGATATCATTTCCTCAGAGGTGCCGTCCCTGCCCACGTTAAAGAAGTCCCCAATTACACCACTCCCTAGTGCATCTTCTTGCTCTGTTTCCTTCTTATTCCTGTCAGTATCTGAAATTGTCCTCCTTATTGTTCACATTTTGGGGATGTTTTTAATCCTCCCCCCAGGATATGTTGATTTTAGAGAGAAAGGAAGGGAGAGAAAGAAACATCAATGTAAGCATTGATCAGCTGCCTCCCATTGGCGCCCAGACCGGGACCAAACCCACAACCACAACCTTTTTGGTGTATGGAATGACACCACAACCGACTGAGCCATATGGCCAGGGATATAGCTCACATTTTGTACACCTTAGAAGGGCCACAGTAGTGAAGATTTGTGTCTGTTTTGTTCACTACTGCATCTCCAGTACCTAGACTGGGGCCGGGCACTTAGTAGGGCTCAATAAATACTTGATGAGAGAATGAACACAGTCCAAGTGGCTTTGGGGATCTTGAGTGTTGAGTATCCAGGCATTTGCCACCTTTTCCCAGCTGTGGGGAAAAAACAGAAGTTTGACCAGGTGTAATCCCGACATTCAAATTATGTCCCAGACTCTCAGGACCGCAGCCCCGGCTTGAGTCCCAGTGCTGCTACCAAACTCCTTGCGTAACCTCCTTTGTGAGAGAAAGTTTGATGCAATAGAAAGAACACCAGCTTTGGAACCTGTTACTTACCAGCTATTTGACTTAGGACAAATTACTTAAGGTCTCCAAGCTTTACTTCCCTCAGTTATCAAAGGGAGATGCTATTACTGATCCCCACAGAGTTGTTGTAAAGAGGCAACGTAGGGATTTTAAGCATTTACTGAATGTTAGTTCTCTTTTCTCTCATCATCTCTGATTCTTAATTCCCCATTCATAAAATGGAAGAACTAGGTATTTTTTCAAAAGAAACGGGAAATAAAGTTTTTACATGAAGTATCCCAATTTTAGAATGTTGGCAATAAAAATGTGTAAAAGACCTCTCTTTTTTAAAGCTGATTTTTAAATGTAAAAACACCTTGAGGGTCAGACAAGATACTTCTGCGGTCCGGATTTGGTCTGTGAGCTACCAATTTTCCACACTGGCTGCTGGCTTGTCAGGGATGCTGTATAATTTAGGCAAATCCGTTACTTCACAGAACTTCAATGAGCCCATCTGTAAAATGGACCCACCTCTGTGCAGATCGTAAAAGGTCAGCAAACTCAGATACAGACAACAGATGGGAGAGGGGTGAGAGGATGAGGATAACCGTGGTCAAATCTATGGTGTCTGAAGGAGACTAGATTTTGGGTGGTGATACTTTTACCCCAATACGTTTTAAATTTAAAGACAACAGTGTGGAAACGTTTTGCATAACGCTTGCACCTACTAGGCCCACCGCAAGACGGTGGCTTTTTGTGGCTGTTGATTTGGTAAGTATGTATTCATAGAGCAAGTTATCTCTGAGACTAGGAAACCAGAAAAGCGACTCCAATAAAAGAGAAAAGACGGCAAAGGAGGAAAGAGAAGAGGTGAGGAGGCAACAGGGTCCGCCCTCCAGGCGGGGCGCCAGCGAGAGGCCCAGGCCAGGGCGGGAGCGCACGTGGCCTAGATTGGGCGGAGCGGACGCGCTTGGCCGAGACCGAGACCTCCGAGTCGGCCACGGAGACAAGCCTTGAAGGTAGGTTCCAACCGGGCTACGGGGACCGTGAAAGTCGGGGTGGAACAGGCTGGGGTCCTAGGAGTTGGGGTACAACGAAGGGCGCAGGGCCTGAGACCTCCACCCTCCATGGGCAATGCGGCACGGACGCCTGGGTCCTCTGGATCCCTCCCCTAGGGGAGGGGCTAGTTTTTCTGACCAATGACCGACCGCTCCCGAGGCCCTGACCCGCCCCCGGAACCACCGTCTCACCGAGTGGCCAACCACTGGGAACCCTAGCCTTGGGCTGCGCGAACGCGGAGCCTTGGGCTGGCGAGTACGCGCTCCTCACTCGATCCCGCCTCCAGCCGGTACCCTAGAGCTCTCGGCCGCCGACCGAGGCGCCAGGGAGTGACTCAGCGCGGGGAGGGTGGCGACTCGCTGATACTGAAGATTCGAACTGCTCAGAGTCTAAAATGCGGAGATGACTGGGGTGAACCAGTGTCTTCAGAGCTGGTCCTGGGGAAGTGCTTGTGCCTAGGGCCGAGCTGGGGTGGGAGGGGAGAAGGCCAGACCCAGAGACCAGGGTCGGGCTAAAGAAGGCAGGGCTTCACCACCTTGCCTTAGCCAGGGCCATGGTGGGAGGCGGGTCCTGAGCTGCTGACCCAGCGGCCCCCCCCGCAGGACACCAAGATGCCTGGCGAACCACAGACGGAGGAGAAGGAAGAGATGCAAGAGGAAATGGTGCTGCTGGTGAAGGGTGAGGAGGATGAGGGTGAGGAGAAGTATGAAGTGGTGAAACTCAAGATCCCTATGGACAACAAGGAGGTACGTGTCACAAACCCTGGGGCACTGTTTCCCCCTAACCTGGTTCGGTTCCAGTCTACAACCTACAGAAACCAGGGATCCTGTCCCTATTTTTCCATAGATCTCAGATTTAGAATCTGAGGGTTGGCAACCCATCCTTCTGCCCCACTGCCCATGCTGACAATCAAGCAGATGTCACACCTACCGTGCCAAGCTCTGTGCTGGGTGCTGGAGAGTAAATGTTATCCTTGGTTCCCCATGGAGCCTGATGTGTAGCAGGGATAGACTGCTAAGTAACCACGCAGCTACAGTTCTGTGTGATGAGTGCAGGCACCAGGGTGGAACCCCGGAGCTGCGAACTTAATGTAGTGTGGGGTGGGGGATGGGCCAGATTAGGCAAGAGTAACCTCTGACTCTTGGTACAGTAGCATTTACTATTCTCCACTGTTTTTTTAAAAAGTCTTTGCCATGTTTTTAAAAATTAAATTTTATTGTTTATGCTATTACAATTTTTCCCCCGTTACTCCCCTCCCCCCCACCTCACTCCCTCAGGCAATCATCACGCGGGTTCATTGCCCAAGTCCATTTGGTCATACATATATGTTTTTTGGCTGTTCTATTTCCTATGCTGTACTTTACATCCCCATGACTGTTCTGTAACTAGCAATTTGTACTTCTTTTTTAAAAAATATTTATTTTTTATATTTTAAGTAATTTTCTCTTTTTAGATTTTATTTATTTTTAGAGAGAGGGGAAGGGAGAGAGGAAGAGGAACATCAATGTGCCAGAGAAACATGCATTGATTGCCTCTGGCATGCCTTTAACTGGGAACCTGAACCACGACTCAACTCATTCATGTGCCCTGGCTGGGAATCGAACCCTGTGACCTTTCAGTTCCCAGGTCAGCGCTCAGTCCACAGAGCCAAACCAGCCAGGATGCAGTTTGTACTTCTTAATCCCTTCATTGTGTCACCCACCTCCCTGACCCCCTCCCATCGAGCAACCATCAAAACGTTTTCTGTATCTATGATTGTTTCTGTTGTTTCTTTATTTTGTTTTTTAGAGTCAATTATTGGTAGGTATGTATTTATTGCCATTTTATTGTTCATACTTTTCATCTTCTTAAAGAAGACCCTTTAACATTTTATATAATACTGGTTGGTGGGGATGAACTCCTTTAGCTATTTCTTGTCTCGGAAGCTCTTTATCTGTCCTTCAATTCTAAATGATAGCTTTAATGGGTAGCCTGGGTTGTAAATCTTTGCTTTTCATCACTTTTAATATTTCTTGCCAATGTCTTCTAGCTTGCAAAGTTTCTCTTTTTTCCTTCATTTATATTTAGAGAGAGGGGAAGCGAGAGAGACAGGGAGAAAAACACTGATGGATGAAACATTGGTTGCCTCTTACACTGGGGAACAGGCTTGCAACCCAGGCATGTGCCTTGATCCAGGCATGTGCCATGACCAGGAATTGAAATGGTGACTTTTCACTTTGCAGTACAAAGTTCGACCAACTGAGCCATGATGGTCAGGGCAGCCTGCAAAGTTTGTTTGTTTGTTTGTTTGTTTCTTTCTTTCTTGGTAGGGATTCCTTCCTTTTTTTTTTAAGATTTTATTTATTGATTGATTTGATTTTTAGACAGAGGGGAAGGGATGGAGAAAGAGAGGGAGAGAAACATCAATGTGTGATTGCCTCTCACACGCCCCTTACTGGGGACTTGACCTACAACCCAGACATGTGCCCTGACTGGGAATTGAACCAGCGACCCTTTGGTTTGCAGGCCAGTGCTCAATCCACTGAACCACACCAGCCAGGGTGCAAAGTTTCTTTTGAGAAATATGCTGGCAGTCTTATGGGAGCACCCTTGTAGGTAACTAACTGTGTTTCTCTTGCTGCTTTTAAGATCTCTTATTTAGCCTTTGGCATTTTAATTATGATGTGTCTTGGAGCGGGCCTCTTTGGGTTCATCTTGTTTGGGACTCTGCTCTTCCTGGACTTGTATGTCTATTTTCTTCACTAAGTTAGGAAGTTTTCAGTCATTACTTTTTCAAATAGGTTTCCAATTTCTTGCCTGTCTCTTCTCCTTACAGCATCCCCATGATGCAAAGATTGGTATGCTTGAAGTTGTCCCAGTGGCTCCTTACACTATCTTCATTTTTTTGGATTCTTTTTTTCTTCTTGCTGTTCTAATAGGTTGTTTTTTGCTTCCTTATATTCCAAATCACTGATTTTATTATCAGCTTTATCCATTCTATTGTTGATAGCTTCTAAATTGTTCTTTGTTTCAGTTAGTGTATACTTTGTTTCTGATGGATCTTTTTTACACTGTAGAGGTTCTTACTAAGTTCCTTGAGCATCTGTATAATCAGTGTTTTGAACTCTGCATCTAGTAGTTTGCTTGTCTCTGTTTTGTTTAGCTCTTTTTCTGGATTTTTATTCTGTTGTTTCATTTGGGTCATGTTTTTTTGTCCTCATTTTAGCAGCCTCCTTGTGTTTGTTTCTGTGTATTAGGTAGAGCTGCTTAATAGTGTAGCCTAATGTAGTAGGTGTCCTGTAGGGTTCAGTGGCTCAGCCCCTCCTGTTATTCAAGCTGGGTACTCAAGATGTGCTCACCAGGTGGGCTGTGTACATCTTCCTTTTGTAGTTGAGCCTTGATTATTGTCACGTCCAAGGTCAGCCATTGCCTATGTTCTCTCTGGGATCACACGCCATAAGCTACAGAGCGATCTGCAGATGGCTGCTACTTGTGCAGGCCTTCGAGGTGCCCATGCGAGGCCATGGTGTGAACCAAGCCTGCCTGCTGCTAGTGTTGGGACTGGCGCAAGTTAGCAGGATGTGCCAGGCACCCTAAAGCCAGATGCTACTTGTTTGAGAGAATTTAAAATATCTGAAACATGGTATAAGACAAGCCGTTTATATATGGGAAGCTCCTGGACAGCTTGGGTGGGCCTGAAAGTTGGGTGGGGCCAGGTTGCAGGGAATCACCAGGGTGGGGCAAACAGTGTGAACCAGGTTGATGGAGTGTCAGATATAGCTCCCACTTCTGGGCTCCGTGAGGGTGCTGGACAATTCAGTTCCTCCCCATATGTCCAATGCCTTTCAACCTGCTGTTCCACTGGGGAGCTCAGATGGAGCGAGTTCAAGTAACTCCGTATTATGTGGGCCCTTTAAGAGGAACTGCCTGGGACTCCAAAAGTTTCTGACTTCCACAGCCTCAATCTCTGCTGGTTTTTACAGTCAGTAGATATGGAGACTTCTTTTCCTGACACTAGAACCCTGGGATGGGTGGCTTGGTGTGGGGCTGGGACTCCTCCTTTCTGAGATTTCGCTCCCAGTTTTTATCTGCTACACATGGGTGTGAGACCAGCCCATTCCTTTTCTCTACCCTTCCTACCAGTCTTGATGTTGTTTCTTTAATTCTGTAGTGGTAGGACTTCCATACAGGTCGATTTCTGATGGTTCTGGATGATGGTTACTCTATAGGTTAGTTGTAATTTTGTTGTGTTTGGGCAAGGAGGCAAACCGTGTTTACCTATGCCACCATCTTGACTGGAAGTCTCCTCCAGACACTGTTTTGAGCAACCCAATTCTATAACACAGGTAGTATTTGTTCTATTTTACATTTGAGGAAACTGAGGCCCAGGAAACCAGACAGCTGGGTGACGGGCCCAGGGTCTCAAAGTTAGTGAAGAGATAGCTACTCTGAGAGAGTGAGCGGTGAAATGGGTGACTACTCCATGTGGAAGAAACGGGCCCTTCAGTGGCTGAGGGAGTGAGTGGGGCACTGGGAGAAGTGAGTGCAGGTGGTTGGGTCATGCTGTAGCATGGATGAGGTTAGGGTGTGTGGCAGGTCAGGTAGGACATTTGGGTTTTATACTGAGGGTGATAAAGGACTAAAGAGGAGTTTTTTAAAAAAAATTACAAGAGGAGTTTTAATATAAGAATATGAGTGAGATTTCCCCATTCAATATACTAACTGCCACCAATTCCAAGAACCCTGCAGAACTCTCAGGCTTAGCCAGCCCAGCCCTGCTTATAGCTGGAGAACTCTGGCTGGGTTAGGGTTGGCAGCCCAGGCTATGAGTTCCTGCACAGGAGCCTGTTTCCAGGGATGGAAGTACTGCTGCCTTATAGTGGGTGTGGTGGACCCTAGAGGGAGGAGGCTAGTTGCTTTGGCCTCTTGCAGTCAGTCAAAATAACTGTTTAGTTCTGTTTTCCTAAAGCCTCTTTGGCCCATCATCCTAGCTTAGTCTGCCTCTTCTAGCCCATTGGATCTCCACATTTCCTTCTTCTACCTGTAAGTTAAGAACTGAGAATCGAGAGTTTACGGTGGACTTCCACCTCCATCATTTATCAGCTGTAAGACCTTGGGCAAGTCTCTTAACCTCTTTGTGCCTCACTTTCCTCATTTGTAAAAGCAAAACCATAACAGCATCACTTCTTGGGTTTGTGAGGATTAAATGAGTTAATACATGTAAAGAGTTAGAACTGGGTGTGGCGAATAATAAACACTGTAAATATTTGCTGCTATTTTCTCCCTAAAGTTCAGGACCTGGGTCTAGGTCATCCTTCTGGAGATTTTTCAACTCGCTTTTATCAAAGGCCGTTTTAGGCCGAATCCTGGGGCTGGGGATGCGAGGGAAAACCAACATGGAGGCCTAGACAGGACTGAGGGCAACCAACTCAAGGCAGCCCAGCAGGCTTTACAGAGAAAGCTTAGCGGAGATTTGGCAAATGGAGGCAGGGGAAGGGCTTCCCAGGAGGAGGAAACAACAAAAGCAAAGGCTCAGAGGAGATGGGGCTCGAGAGTTAAAGGCATTGAGAGCCAGTGTAGGAACTTGACACACTGAAGAAAGACATTGGATTTTCTATTTTGAAGATTCATTGTCTGTTGTGGGAAGAACAGGCCATGTAAGGCTGGTAGGCTGCTCTGAGGTAGTGACAGCAGTGGAGACAAGACAGAAAGCAGGGGATATTTGGGAACCTTGATCGCACTGGCTGGAGCCAAGGATGAGAAGGTGGAGGGTGGGCATGGCTAGTCATGAGATGTAAGTGGGGACAGACTGTGAATGGTACATGTAGCAGTTAGAAGCATTGGTTCAGATTCTAACTACACCATTTATCAGCTTTGCCTTTGCTTTCTCTGTAAAATGAGATAATGGAAGTGAGATTTTTGAAAGCCAGTCTAAGTATCATCTGGGTGACTGTATTTGGAGGAGGAGGAGGGTGGAAATGAGGATTACTCACACACCCCATAAACATTTAGCTCAGCACTGTGCCCACAAGATAACTGACTAACTTGCGGCGTGGTCTCCCTGAGTCTGTTTCTTTGAAAACATTGATCCCAAAAGCTTCTCCCAGTGCTGACATCCTATAGCTCTTAGCTATCACTCAGTCCTAAGGCCAGTCATTGTCCAGGACAGGCCTTAATTATGCTCTACGCAGAGGCTGAAGCATTCTTTCATTGCCTATCGAAAGCCAATCTCTTTAACGAATACAAAGATTTTCTCAAAGGGCTCTCTGCACATCCAGTCCTCCCTCCCTCCCTGCCTCCCTCCCTCCAGCTCCTTAAACCTTAGGTTTTCTGTTTCCCTCAGGATAAAGTCCTGGCTCCTAAGCCTGGCATTCAAAGATCTACGCCACCTGTCCTCATGTACTGACTTCATCACCCAACACCCTTCCCATGCCCCAGCTTCAGACGGCTGGAGAACAACTATGGCTGAGAAAGGTTTCTGGTCCCAGGCTCAGACTTGGCATGTGTGGTCCTTCAGCCTGTAAAACCCTCTTCACCTTTTGCAGCTGCTTTCTCCAGGAGTTTCTCTACTGTCTTCTAGGTTGTGTCTTAATGTTAACGTGCATAGAAATCACCTGGGAATCTCATAAAGTGAAGATTTCGATTCAGCAGGTCTGGGGTGGGACTTGAGATTCTAAAAATTTCCCAGTGATGCTGATAAGGCTGGTCTGTGGACCACACTTCCTGTAGCAAGGAGCTAGAGGATAGGGACCATATTTTACACTTTGTACTAAGCAGAAGGGGGATTCTGAAAAGAGTCCAGGTGAGGGAGACAAGCTGTGTAGGTGACGTCTAACTTGTAAGTGAGAGAATTGCGTCATGAGGAAGAACAGGTGTTCGGACAATGGCAGACTTCCAGTTCCGACCCTGCTTCTGCCATCAATTAGCTGTAGGGCCAGGGGTCGCCGTAGTTACTTATTTATAAAATGGAGCTAATGATACCTAACCCAAAGGATTGTGAGAGTTTAAAATGAGAACACGGGTGAAAAGCACGTAGCACACTCCCTGGCACGTAGAGTGCTCAATAAATGGTAGTTATAATTATAACTATTAATCAGGAAAGCAGTGGCTGAGGAGGAAGCTGGGAGCTTTGCTCTGGTTGGAAAAAACAAACTTACACAGGAAGAGAAGATCACTATCTTCAAATACTTGGATTATCATATTACTAGACGACGTTGTACGCCCATGATAACCTCTTGTTGTAGTGCAGATACCTCTTATTCTCATTTTTAAGTCTAATACTTGTAGAATTTAAGACAAGCGAAGTCCTTTAATGACCACCTAGTCTGGTGGTTGCCAGTTGCCATGTAAATCGCTTGCCCGCTGGGCTCATTTATTTACTGCTCTTCTTCAGGTAGATTCACATTGTTTTTGTTAACTCCACCTTCATCCAAACAATAATGCTGGTGGACCTGTGGGTTTCCTGTGATCCGTTGTTTGTCTGATATCTGTGAAAAGAAGTGCATAATGATTATAATGAGAGAAAAGTGTGCCTGCAGAAGGCTTGGGACCCTCTTGCATCCTGTGATGTGTGCATAGCTCAAGTTCAGTAATTGTATCTCACCTAGCCTACCTCACCTTCCTTGGTTCACCAAGGCCTGAGAAGGGAGCACCTTGCCTGGCGTCTAAATGAGCCAGTCTCAGCCCCTCTTACCAAGATTTTTCCTGGGGCCCCCAAGCCCCTCCTCCTGGAGCTGCAGGTACCAAGAACACTTGCGTGAAGAAGTTCTTCCTAAGCCAGTGAACCCAGCATGAGGAAGTCCTCAGGCTGGTCAAGGTCATGTCAGAGAAGGGTGCCAAAGAAAAAGGGGCCAGAACAAATGTAGATATAATAAGGAAAGTTCTCTCCACAAGTGCTGACGTGTTGAAATAAAACCAATAGGTGTCACAACCCTGGCATGACAGGAAAGAGTGACCTTGAATTCGGACTGTGCCAAATCTGCTATGGAGGGTGTCTCGATTTAAAGTATCAATTGTAGTTTTAACTTTGAATCCTCCTTGGAGATAGCAGGGACTTGGAGCCCGCCCTTCTGTCACATCTTGGCTGCGCAAGTGCAGGGAAGTACAAGGTAGACTACTAGTTAAGCGTCCTGACTCCCACTGGCTCTGGGGATTTAATCTCCCTGCGCCTCAGTTTTCTTTCTTTCCTTTTCCTTCCTTCCTTCCTCTCTCTCTCTCTCTTTTTTTTTAAAGGATTTTTATTTATATATTCTTAGAGGGGAAGGGGAAGGGTAAGAGAGGGAGAGAAACATCGATGTGTGAGAGAAACACCTGTCGGTTGCCTGTTGCACATTCCGCTACGGGAGACCAGCCCGCAACCCAGGCATGCGCCCCGACCAGGAATTGACCCGGCCGCCTTTCGCTTTGCAGCATGATGCCCAAGCAACTGAGCTGCTCCAGTCAGGGCACGCCTCAGTTTTCTTAATTATCAAAGGATAACACCTGACTCAAGGGGGTGACAGGAAGACTTAATACAATAATAAACATCAAATGGCATTGTTGAAGCTTACACTGTAATGTCGGGATCACTACTATCATTATATGTACTGTTTAAAGTAGAGTTCCCTTGGCTGGTCACTGATTTCCCAAAGCTGGTGTTCCAGCTTCTGAGTTGGCTACCAAAAAGCAACAGCCTTTTTATGCAGGATCTTCAAGACTGAAGTTGCCCTCCTCACAACTTAAGGGTGGGTGGAGGTGTTAACTGCTCCCCAGCTGTCATCCTCTGTCAACCTGTTTCCTTATCTATAAAATAAGAATGTGATAACTACTCTGAGGAGAAGCTGACAGTGTCTTGTCCTTCATATGTGCCAGGCATTTATTCGTTCATGAATTAATGTACCTAACTGCTTGGCCCACGGAAGATACTCAGCATCATCTTGGCAGGGATGAGCCCCCTCTTTCCTAGGGAGGGAGCAATATGCCCTCAGTATTCCTGTTCTTTCTGCTGCTAACACAAAACGTTAACATAATACAATGTTAATATGGTTACTACGTTTTCCCTTCACCTGCCTTTTACGAAACACTTCTTTCCTTTTTCTGATTTTATCTCTAGAAGCCCAGACTTCATGAAAGGGGCTCATTTTCAGTTCAGGCCTCAGAATTGTATTTGGGCTTCACCCTTGTCTTCACAGCTTAAGAAATGGTAGGTGCTGGATCTTCAAAGTTTATTTAAAAGCCTGGATTTGCTCCTGGCCTGGCTTCTAAGACGCCATCCTCTCCCACCTCTTTGGCTGCTGCTAATCTTACTGCCCCAGGTTCTCTCTGCCCATTCCCTGGGTAATCTCATTCAGTTTGAAGGCTTTCAAAACCGTCTATAGGCTGATGGCTTCCCAATCAACACCTCCAGCCTGGGCCCCTCTCCTGAGCTCCAGATTGTCAAGAATTGCAGATGTGATCTGAAACGGGTCTCACCTTTCAACTCGCTCTTCCTCAGCCACCCTGGCGTCTGCCGAACTCAGATCCTTGGCGTAATTTTGACTCCCTTTTTCTTTATGTCTCATCTCTAATCTGTTTTTCAAATCTGTTTTCTCAAATGGCAAGAACATGTTCAGAAGCAGACCACTTCTTACCACCTTCACTTTTCACCTGTCAGCTGGGTCGGAGCCACTGTTTTCTTTTGCCAGATGACTGCAGGACGGCAGCCTCCTCTCTGGCTCCTGCTTCTGCCTTCTTGCCTTTCTGCAACCCCAGCAACCTGGTGGAAGCTTTTAAAATGAGTCTGATCTGGTTATGTCCCTGCTCAAAACCTTCTAACACCTCCTCTAATGGTTCCCCATCTCATTCCTATTGCAAGGCCTTAAGAGATGCCCTCCAGGAGCACCCCATGAATTTCTCTCCCCCTCATGCATTGCGCCCTAGGCACTTTTTCTTGCCATCGCTGGAACTTAACTTGCAATACTCCTACCTCAGGGTCTTGCTGTTCCCTCTGTAGCCTGCTTTCTCATCTCCTTTAGATCTTTGCTCATGTTACATCAGTAGTTCATAACCTTACTTAAATTTGAAGCATTTCCCAATACCGGTACTCTTTATCCATTCTTCCTGAAAGGAGGAATATAAAAAAATTTAATACTGAATCTCCAGTGCCTAGAATGGAGTTTGGCAGATTGTATGCCTTTAGTAAATATTTGTTGAATTGATAAAGAATAGCTAGAATGATTCCGAACATTATAACGTGCATTAATGCAGACTGTAATTTAATGTGCACAGCCATCTTATGGGACAGACACCTTTGTTTTCCTGTTTTACACATGGTGACATTGTAGATACCCAGGGCCCTGGCTTTCAGTCCTATGGGTCAGGACTGAGCTGTCTGCCCTTTCTCCACAGGTACCAATCGAGGCGCCAGCACCGTCTGCTGACCCAGGGCGCCCACATGCTTGTCCAGACTGCGGCCGTGCTTTTGCACGCCGCTCCACGTTAGCCAAGCATTCGCGCACACACACGGGCGAGCGACCCTTCGCATGCACCGAGTGTGGCCGGGGATTTTCTCAGAAGTCGGCTCTGACCAAACACGGCCGCACACACACAGGCGAGCGGCCGTTCACATGCACTGAATGCGGCCAGCGCTTCTCACAGAAGTCAGCACTGACTAAACACATACGCACGCACACCGGCGAGCGGCCCTACAAGTGCCCCGAGTGCGACAAGCGCTTCTCGGCTGCCTCGAACCTGCAGCAGCACCGGCGTCGCCACACAGGCGAGAAGCCTTATTTGTGCACGCACTGCGGTCGCCGTTTCGCGCAGAGCTCCAACTACGCACAGCACCTGCGCGTGCACACAGGCGAGAAGCCGTACGCTTGCCCGGACTGCGGACGTGCTTTCGGTGGCAGTTCGTGCCTGGCGCGCCACCGACGCACGCACACAGGCGAGCGGCCATACGCATGTGCTGACTGTGGTACGCGCTTCGCGCAGAGCTCTGCGCTGGCCAAGCACCGGCGTGTGCACACTGGAGAGAAGCCGCACCGTTGTGCCGTGTGCGGACGCCGTTTTGGCCACCGCTCTAACCTGGCGGAGCATGCTCGCACGCACACAGGCGAGCGGCCCTACCCCTGTGGTGAATGCGGCCAGCGCTTCCGCCTCAGTTCACACTTTATCCGGCACCGTCGCGCGCACATGCGGCGCCGCCTCTACATCTGTGCTGGCTGTGGCCGAGACTTCAAGCTACCCCCGGGAGCTACAGCCACCACTGCCTCGGAACGCTGCCCAGAGTGTGAGGGTAGCTGAGTGCAGATCTTGTTGGTATGGGTTGCAGCTAGGGAGGGGCCAGGGCCCAACTCCTAGGTGTTGAATTGACATGGGCAATGACTCCAAGTCTCTGGTCTAGGAAAGGGCGTGATGGCAGGCGGGCTTGGGCCTGTGACACTGGTGAATCTGCTGTCAGACCCCTGGAAACGTTGCCCAGTCCTTGTCATTACAAATTCTCAGCCCGTGTAAGTAAATAAAGTATTATATCCTCAATCTATCAGTGCCAGTGAATGAGGTGGATGGGGAGAGGAAAGTTGGTGTTTTCCTAAGGCTTAGATGACTTAGGTGGATTGTCCCGGAACAAAGTGTAGCTATAAGCCTAAAAAGAATTCCTGAAATTGTGTGTCTATACTCATCCCACACACCTCCCTTGGGTATCTTCTCATAATGTAAAATCTGGAAATGCCTATAAATATAGCAGCTTTGTGTTCAAACAGGTACCGCATTTGCAGAGCTTTGGTGAGCTCCCAGTGAACGTCATGGAGCTCTGTGTAGTGAAGAGACAAGATTAAGCTTGTCATGAAGGCTGACAGAGGGAATTTCATACAGCTCCTGAAACTGCATGCCAGTCTTGCTGGTGGGAATGCTAATGGAAAGGAAGAAAAGTTGAGTATATAGAGAGGGAGGAGATAATTGACCAAGGAGAGGGAATGAAAAACCAGTAAGGATAAGGCTCCAGCTATCACTAGTAGGGAGAAGCAGGGTGGGTTTGAAACAAAGCTGAAGCAGTTCCATCTGGACTGTTTTAGGTGGTAAGAAAGATGTCACTGGTTAAGAGGGTGAAGTCACTACAGGAATGAGGCCGTTAAAGGGAATCCCTCATTTTAATAATGTGGAAATAGGCTCATAAGGGCAGCAAGAAAAATGTGAAGGTCTTTTCCCCCAGCATTACCCCACCCTGAGGGAAGCGGGCATCTCAGAAAAGAAAGTGGCGTGCCTGAGGTCACACAACGCGTGAATTATACACGTAGCTAACACTATCTTTCTGTGTAGAGGTGGAATGAGAAATTGGTCCTGGGAGGGCAGGGGTGGGGGCAAGAGGCCCAAGCCCAAGAGCAGTGGAAGCCCTGTTCTGTTCCACATCTAAGACCTGACCCTGTTTTGTGCTGGGTCCTGAGACTCAGTCCTGGACCTAGGCCTCCCTTAACTGTTGACATTTCCTGCGGTGGGCATCCGAGTTTTTGAGCTAAGAGACAGAAAACTGCAAACTTACAAAGTACCTGCTGTGTGCCAGGCACTGGCCTAAGCACTCTACTTGCAATAATAACTGACTTAAACTTTAGAGCCCTGTCAGGTAGGTACTGTTATTTTCACTTTAGATGAAGAGGCCGATGAACATCATCCAGCTGATAAGTATCAAGTATGGTGTTGAACCCTGACGTCCTGGCTCCCAAATCTGGGCTCTTACCGCTACCTACAGCCTCCAGTCTTCTGTTAGGGGCTCCAAAGGGGAACAAACGTGCAGGAGATCCCACAGGGGACCTGCTAGAAATGAGATCTCTGCCCGGCAGGTGGGAGGCATGGTAGAGAACATGGGAGGTGGGCTCAGAGGCAACCCTGGTGCCCCTGTAGTACCTGCTGAGACAGAGCCTTCCCAGGAGGAATCCAGAAGTTGCTAGACAAAACTTTTATTGAGAGAGAAGAGTACCAAGAGTCTGTCTTCCAGAGGTTCCTGAGCCTCAGACTTCAGGGAGTCAGGCTCCCAGGCCAGCGATCCGTTAGAAAAGGACTAGAATGAGGTTCCATGGCCAGGCCATCATCTGCTCCTCAGGTGCCATGCTGAGTTGCAGATCCTGGGTCCATGGTTCTAGGCTGAGGCCTGGCCTGAGGATTCACAGGCAAGGTCTGTAGCCCCCACAGTCTGGTCTTCAGAGGTGGCCCCATGGGGCAAGTCCGTATATTTGCGGGAGGAGCCACGGGAGAGATGTGGCGGGTAGCGTCGCCGGTTGGTGTCCATCTTGGAGAGCACTACTTGGGGCAGACCCACACGGCAGCGGGCTGCTAGTGCTACCAGGTAGATGAGGACATCGCTCAGCTCCTCCTGAAAGGCTGCCTGTTCCTTGGGGGGCCAGGCTCCTCATCAGGCTTCCACTGACTGGGGGTGGAACACACAGACACGCACATGCTAACTAGGACGAAGGGCTCTGCCTCTCAGAGCACCCCGGTCCTCGCAGCAATGAACTCCCACCTCCAGAAACTTCCTTCAAGGACAACTCAACCCACTGGGGGCCAGAGTAGGGCCAGGGTGGGGAAGACACACCCACATATGATTCACCCAGACCTGTGTCCTCACCGAAGCCAAAGGGCTGCCAACACATCATTTCACTCGTAAAGACCCAATTCTACTTCTCTCCAGCCCAAGCTACTGCCACCCCAGCCTAAACCTCAGACCCGGACCACTGGGGAAGCCTGCTAACCCATCTTCTAGCCTTGCCCAGCGTCAGCTTTTAAAAGTGCAAATTACATTTTGTCCCTCCTCTGCTTAAAATCCCCTAGCTGTGCTTGGAATAAAACCCGAACTCCTGACCGTGCCCTCCAGGTCCGGCATGAGCTGACTCCTGCCTCTTCCACTGTCATTATCCACTACTTTCCCCAGCTCCCCACCTACAAGTCACTCTGGCTTTTTCTGTCTCACAAACAGGTCAAACTGCCACAGGGCCTTTGTACTTCTTTCCCTGAATGAACTTCTCGTGGTCCCCCTCCACCCCCAATTCCCCAGTGGCGGGCTCCTCCCTATTGTTACTCGGGTATCAGCTCACATCTCTCCTCCTCAGAAAAGCCAACTCCGTTTCCTTCCTTCTCTCCACCTCGGGTTATTTTCCTCAGAGAACCTATCACAATGCCTGAGATTTTAGCGTTAGTTTGCTTGTCTGCTGCCCATCTTGCACTGCTAAGGTGGGAATGATGTGTATCTTTTGGAAGGCCACATCGCTAGACTTTAGAAGACCAAGTATACAGATGATGCTCATAAATTTAATAAATGAACGGCCTTCCCACACACACATCTCCGTGCCCTCATTTCTCCATCCCCACGGTGACTTCACTGGCTTAGGCCTCGCCACCTCTCCCTTGATCTACACGAGCCTCCTCACTGGTCTTATCCTGCCCTAATTCATTCTCTCTCTCTCTCTCAAATAAATAAATAAATAAATAAATTCCTTTGTTAACTCTCACCTGGGGATAGATTGGTTGATTTTAGAAAGAGAGAGAGGGAGAGGGAGCAAGGTCCCAGGGTTAGGGGATGGGGGAAGAGGTGTAGGCCCATGCACGCACCTCAGTGATATGTAATAGGGACATAAGTTTCCAACGGGAATCTGTAACTAACTCCTTGGATGCCCTTAAACAAGTCATGTCTTTCTATGCGACTATTAAAAGAGCCAAGCGCCTACGCAGACCCTAAACGGCATGGGAACCTCACACCACCCTCTCTTTCCATTCCATCTCCCGCGGCTGCTTCTGCAGTTTCCTCCACCAGACATACCCCTATCTCTGCCTACCCACGTGCTATGGCCTTACAGAGACCTTGCAGGTCCACGGGCACTGTCCCTAAGAAGCCTTTCTTGGTTTCCTCCAGCAAGAAATTAAGAGCCTCTCACCTCTCGCTGCATTTGCCACGTTCTACCTCCCACTCCTGGAGGGCAGAGGCAGAAGCAGCATGGACCCAGTATTCCCTCTCAGGGCTAGTTGTAATATTATTCACCGGGCGTCACCATTCCCCCTGCCTCAGGTGTGCACTGCTAACCCCGTTTTGTATAGGAGGTTGGAAGGTTCGCCCGGGGCCGGACAGCAGAGCTGGGACAGCTGCAGCCCTTCCCGACCAAGCGGAGGGAACCTCCCCGATAAAAAGGGAGAAGCGGGGCGAGTTCCCCAGCCCAGACTGGACAGAGTCGGCTTACATGTCTTCGAGCGTGGGCTCCGGGCTGAAGCTGAAGAGGCCGGCAGCACCAGTGCCCTGTCCCCCGCTGTCCCCACGCTGCTCACTACCCACAGAGGACATGTCGCCACCCGCGCGGCAGCCTCGCCTGCACGGGAGAAGCCCGCCCACCGCCGGAGCCCGCCTCCAAGAACCTCTGACCAATCACGGGCGTTAGCGTTGCTTCCCGGGGCGGAGCCGCAGGAAAGGCCCATCAGTTCTCTGGAGTTTCCTATAGTCCGCCCCTCAGGCGGCCTGGACCAGTTTGAGCAAGTTCCAAGCGTGCGCTCCTAGGCGTCTGTCTGAAATTTGTTCGGCCTTGGCCAAGCATCTTAAAGGAGTCTGTACTGCACCCGATACCACCAGGGGAGGAGACAAAGGGCAGAGGTCGAGGAGAGCGCAGGCGCGTCACTTCACTTACAGGCGCCAGTTGGCGCCAAAGCGAAATGACGAGGCGGGGAAAGGGGCGGGCGCTCCGTGGAAAACGCCGGAAATGGAGGGTTTAAGCAAGAAAGGGCAATGCATTATAAGGCTACGAGAGTGTCTCCAGAATGCAGCTGGGCACCACGGAAGTGACACCGCGGTAGCTGTTTTAAGCATTTAACATATTTACTCCTTCCATCAGTAGGTAATGCGATCATCATCTTCATCATCCTCGTTTCCGTTTTACCCATAAGGAACTGAGGCAGGGAGTAATTTAACTGAACAGCTAGGGAAGTGATAGCCAGGCTTCAAATTCAGGCAGTTTGACCTCACAGTCTCTTTGGCGTACACTATATTGTCTCAATTGGCGATAAGTACCAGGAAAAAAAAGTTTAATGTATTTAAACATTATGAAAAGTGGGGACAACTTTAGGTTGCATGATCGAGGGAAGATGTGGGTAAGCACTGTTGGTTACCTACCTAACTGCCCACTTCACGCCTGCGTCTTTGCAGAACCATCACTATATTCTGGGATACACCCTTCTCTACTAGCTTGGTCATGTGACTGTCCCTTTTGCCCTGCCATCCGTGGGTTTGCGGGTGAGCACGTGGCCCAGTTCTTGACAATGAGCAGATCCAGGAAGCCCGTTAGAGACTTGGGAAAGGTTCTTGGCTATTTTTTCTAAAAAAGGACCCAGTAAGTCTCTACCTCTGATGTTAGCATGTGAGGAATGGATTGAGAGGAGAGCTAGTCCACCAGCTGAGACTGGTAGATAGCAACATAGAAAAGACCTGGATCCTTGATGATATTGCTGGGCCCCTTATTTTTACAGGTTCCAGAAATGCCCTCATTTAGGATTCTGGCTATATAAGTTAATAAATCCCATCGTTGGTCAAGCGATTTTTAGTTGGTGTTTCTGTTACTTGTCGTTGAGAAAGTGACATTTAGGCTGAGTGTTGTTATGGAGGCGAAGAGAGGAGAGTGTTCCGGAAGTGGACTAGAGTTCTAGGTAGAGGGAACACCAATGCGTAAAGCGGGAAAGGTTTAGCATGCTCTAAAGACAAGGGAATTGCGGTATGGCAGGGATGTAGTGAGCAAGGGGGAGAGTGGTTGGATATGGTTTTAGAGACGTGAACAGAGGCCAGATTAGATCAATAGCCATGAATTTTATTTGACTCGGAATTTGAAGTATAATGGAAGCCCTTTGGAGGGTTATAGGCCGGGGAGCCATATAATCAAAATTTGTATTTATGAGCTGCCTGCCTGGCTGCCGTGTTGAGAGTGAACCGGAGGAGGGGAAGAATAGAAGGAGGGAGATGAGCTAGTGCAGTTGTCCAGGCACGAGACGATGGTGACGTGGACCAGGCTGATGGTGGGCAAAGGGGAAGAGAAGTGGACGATTGGGAAGATATTTTGGAGGTAGATCTAGACATAGGCTTTGTTGGTGTGAATAGAGGGATGGGAGAAACGGTAGAATCAAGCATGGTTTGCGGGATGTGGGTGTTGAACAGTTTGGTGGATAGATGACTCATACTGGGACGAAGAAGATCAAGAGCAGGACTGAACACATGTGGCTTCAGGAGTTTGAGTCATGCCAAAGCAAACTGAAGAGGTATGTCAGTTGGCAGGTGTGTTTATGAGCCTAAGCTTTAAATTGAAAACAAGTTTTCAAACTATCTTTATTGATTTTAGAGAGAAGAAAACATCGACGTGAGAGAGAAACATCGACTGGTTGCCTCCCTTACTTGCCCCGACCAGGGATCAAACCCATACCCAAGGGCCGGGAACGGCCCCGCAACCTTCGGGTGGACGGGGTGACACGCCGACCAGTGGAGCCACACTGCCTGGGGCTCTGAGCCTATAAGCTGTAGAGGAGAGATAGGAGAGATCCAGATTTGGTAGTCTCAGGCATTTACACTTCCAAGTCATGGAACTGGAGAAGGATAAGTAATACGAGAACGTAGGGGGACAAGACCGTGACTTGGAGTACTGTGACAATTAGCGGCTGAGCAGTGGAGAAGGGGCAGATGAGGCAGGAGGAAAATTGGCAGAGTGTGTTGCTATGGAGACGAAGAGAGGAGAGTGTTCCAGAAGGAGCGGACACTTGATTTGGATGCTGCTGAGCTGCTGCGTGAGACGGGAGCACTGAATTTGCCCCTGGATTAGGCAGCATGGAAGTTGGATATGAGAGACAGGAGAAAAGAGGGCGTCCCAGGTAACTCTTGAGTGTCTGGCTTGAGTAAATGGATGGATAGTTTTGTCGTTTTCTGCAAAGAGGACACAGAAGACCTGGAAGTTGGGGTTGGAGGGAAGAAAACGAATTCGTTTGGGACACATGGAGCCTAAGATGGCTCTGGGACATCCAGATGACGTGCAGCAGGCAGGTAGACGTACAGGCCAGAAGTTCAGAGCGCTGAGCTATGTTATGGATGTGTGGATGGAAAGTTTCAGGAGACAAGCACCTTCCTTGGTGTTCGGTAAGCTTCTCCGGACAAGAACCCAACGCTTTTACTGGAACGTAAAACACAGATGGAGGGCAACTTTTTCAGGAGTCTTGTGCATCTGAGAGTGTTTGAAGAGCCAGCGACTGGGACTTCTAGAGCTCACTGGTCGGGTGGTCGTCGGGGGCTGACAGGAAGGAGGAGGCATTCTGTCTGGGAATGCCTCTGCCATCCTCCCAGGAGATCCCTGAGTGAGCTCTAAGGCTCCTGTGAAGCATCCTTCAGGGACCCCTATGTTCCTGCTCCGCAACATCTTCATCTGAAGACCAACCAGACCCAGCTCCAGCACAGCATGGGCTTGGGGGGCAGGGGAGTCCCTCATGAGGGAGAGGGAGCAGACCTGAACACGTGATTGGCCCTCGCACCTGGGCTGCTCATCCCAGGCTCTATCCACACCCTCACCCCCACAGCCAGTCAGTTTACCCCACTGCTCTCAGAAATATCTAGGTGACATGACCTCCCTGCTTTAGTCAGGGCCTCAGTGTGCTTGGTCTTGTCTTTCGGTCCACGTTTGTGAGTAGCCCTTTTTAAGCCTGTACCTTCCCCTCCAGAGACTGGACTGGATGCCCTAGCCTTCTCAGACTAAAGGTGTTTCCCCAAGTGCAGGCTAATAAATGTTTAATGTAGGATGGACGGGCTGAGACAGGGCAACGCGTGCTTGAACACGCATGCCCTTCTGCTGCTCAGAAGAGTTTGACCACCTTTCCCATTAAAGCCAAGCTGTGCAACTGCTCTTTGGGAAACGCTGGAGAGTGGAAGAGACAGCCGCAGCCGGAGAACAAAGTAGTAGAGGCCCAGAGCCCAGAGTAGAGGCCCCAGAGGCCCAGAGGTGGTCTTGGGATGGAAGAACGTGGACCAGTCAGAGATCCCAGAGACAATAGAGTGTGATGGGAAACTAGAAGTCAGGTGATTGGGACCCTATTCACCGATGCCCTTGGGAATACTCTCTCTTTCTAGAGCCTCAATTTCCCATCTATATAAAGATGGCCTTCAAGGACCCTTTGTGTGCGTGCTGGGAGGATCGGGACAAAATATCTTTTGTGCATGATTGTACCTCCAACCCATCGCCGTGCTCTTCTTCCTAGAGGCAGAGCCATAGGCCTTGACGGTTTTGTACGGGGGGAGAGGGGAAAGAGTGTCGCTATAATTAAAAGTGTTTGTTCTCATTAAATGTTTCAGAGGGAGTCATGAGAGAGGTGTTTTAGGAATCTCTGACTTAGCCTATTTGGGATGAGTCGTCAACGCCCTTAGAAGTCCTTCCACGACTTACTTATCCAGCCTGGCCCCTTGCACACATGCTGAAATCCAGCCAGGTAGTCCCCCCTCTGCCCCTTCCTGCCTTCGCTCACACAGTTCACTGCATCTGGAATGCCCATTGCCCTTCTCTGTGTATCCGTATCCAAATCCAAATTCCGCCCAATCTGTAGAGCCCTGCTGCAAATCCACCCCCTCTGGGAAGCCTTCCGTGACTTCCTGCCAAAAGGAAATAACTTTCATTTCTCTTTCAAAAATCATATTTGATTGATTATGCTATTACAGTGGTCCCAATATTTCCCCCTTTGCCCTCCTCCACCCAGCATCCACCCTACTCCCTCAGGCAAATCCCCCCACCATTGTCCAAAATATAGGTCAGGCATACAAGTTCTTTGGGTACTCCATTCCTGTTCTGTACTTTACATCCCCACGGCTATTCTGTAACTACCTATTTGTGCTTCTTAATCCCCTCACCTCTTCCCACGCCTCTCCCATCTGGCAGCCATGAATATGCACTCTGTATCCATGATTCTGTCTCCGTTCTTCTTGTTAACTTAGTCTGTATTTCAGATTCAGTTGTTGATAGATGTGTATTTGTTGTCATTTTATTGTTTGTAGTTTTGATCTCCTTTTTCTTAAGTAAGTCCTTTGAAAGTTTCAAATAATAATGGTTTGGAGATGATGAACCCCTTTCGTCTTTTTCTTGTCTGGCAAGCTCCTCATCTGCCCTTCAGTGTGGGGTAGAGCAATCCAGTGGCACAGCCTCCCCTTATGACCTAAGCGGGGTACTTGAGGATCGCCTTTCATGTGGGCTGAGTACACTCCCCTCTTCTGGTTGGGCCTTGGTTGCTGTTGCCAGGTCAATGGGAGGGATTTACCCAGGCCAGTCAGCTGCAAGGACTGGCTGGGACCACTGACCACCAATTTAGTTTTCTATAGCACTTCATCCACTCTCCTCTCATGACTCTACCACTTTTCACCTTACTTTGGGGGTGACTCGTGTCCCTCTTCTAGATCTTCCCCTACAGTGTGTCTCCCGGAGGACAGAAGCTCTGTCAGGCTTTTGTTTCCCCAGAGCCTGGTACTTGACCAGATCAAATAAATACTAATTGTAGAAGCATGTCCCATGGGATCTACTCCCTGACTTCCCTGCCATAGGCGGGTATGGCTGTGCCTGCGTTTATGGACGGGAAGGCCGAGACTCAGAGACTTGTCGAGATTCGGTAGAAAGGCATAGG